ACAATGTAATAAGACAAAATGTATATATAAATTATATTACAATATGTAAAAAAATCAATTTGGATTATAATCACCATAATACCCAGCCATCATAGCCAATGGTTGGTTTAATTGGAGTTATAACCCAGCTGTCAAACCCGAAATTGTCATAAGTGTAGCCATTTTAGTTTGTCTTAGTATATATTTTTCTTATTTTCCCTGTGGTAGTCATGGGGGGAAAAGTTGCGGGCTTGACACACTCCTAAGGTGGGAGGAGTGGAGATAAACTGAATGTTATGGCTAGGGTATCTTCTTTCCCGTGAGAAATGAGCTGTCTGGGCTTGGGGCCCTGGAGGTGGAGATTTATGACATCAAGCAACGTTGTATTGGAGAATGTGACTTTTGGGGGGTGTTTCTAACTTCTAATATTGTGGGGTAATTCCAGGTTGGGTCAGATCCGGAATTACCATGGACTTTGCCAATTTGATGTTTTCCTAAATAAAAGAAATCTTTTTGAAGATGGACTTTATTATTTTTCTTTTAACATGGATTTCATTACTTGGAAACCTGACATTATTCCGGATCTCCATAATCATTTTTCTGGAATAGAACAGCTGCCACTGCTACGTCGCCAGCGTCAGCTTGCACTATAAAAGGCAATGCTGGGTCAGCGTGTTTTAGAATGGGTTCCTGTGCGAAATGCCTTTTTAACAACTCAAAAGCTTTTTGGCATTCTAGAGTCGATTTTAGCGGTTGTCCATGTGTTGCCTTAGTTGCCTCCCCCTCCCAGTTTTGAATAATTCTGTTATTGGTAATGCAATTTCTGAAAATGAGGGGATAAATTGTCGGTAGAAATGTGCAAATCCAAGGAAGCTTTGTAGCTGTTTGTGATTTGGGGGGGGGGTTGCCAATCCAGGACAGCTTTCACTTTAGCAGGATCCATTTCTATCCCCTGATTTAAAATATGATAGCCAAGACAGCCAGGATGCCAGACTCATGGAGGGGGGCATTGATTTCGCTGATCCTGAAGGAGGATTCGGATCCCCGATATATACAAAATTATAGGTCGATTTCATTGTTAAATACTGATTACAAAATATTTACTTCTATTATAGCAAGTAGACTAAAAAGAATGTTAAATGAGCATATACATGAAGTCCAAAATGGATTTCTCCCGATCAGACAAATCAGGAATAACTTAAGAATAGTATTAGATGTTTAGAATTTTACGAAGCCCATCCCGAAAAACAAATTGCACTTATGTTTTTAGATGCAGAGAAGGCCTTTGATAATTTAAATTGGCAATTTTTAATCCAAAAAAATTATAATATGAATTTAGGCACCAAATTTGAAAATATTATAACAACCATTTATGATACACAACAGGCTAATATTATAATAAACGGGGAATATACCCACCCAATAAAAATAGAAAAAGGAGTCAGACAGGGCTGCCCACTCTCACCCCTGCTCTTCATATTATCACTAGAAGCATTATTAACGCGAATTAGACAGAACCCAGACATAAAAGGATTAAAGGTTAAGAAAGAAGAATATAAGTTGCAAGCGTTTGCGGATGGTATGAATTTTTCATTGAAGAACCAATAGAAAGAGGACAAAAATTGATGAATGAATTAGAACAATTTGGAGCAGTAGCAGGACTAAAAATTAATAAGAAGAAAACGAAATTAATGACCAAAAATTTAACAGAAAAACAGAAATTAGAACTAGAAGAAGTTATGGGACTACAAGTGATAAAGAAAGTTAAATACTTAGGAATATGGTTGACAGCACATTGTAAGACACTTAAGAAAAATAATTATGATAAATTGATGCAACAGGTAAAGAAGGATTTAGAAACATGGGGCAAGCTGCAGCTTTCATTATTAGGCAGGATCGCTGCTATTAAAATGAATATTCTTCCAAAATTCCTCTATATATTTCAGACGATCCCAATCAAAGTACACAAATATTTTTTTTGAAGAACTTAATAAAATAACTGTAAAATTCATCTGGCAAGGGAAAAAACCTAGAATAAACTTAAAGGAAATGCAGGATATGAAGAGCAGGAGAGGGCTGGCACTTCCAAATTGGGAGTTGTATTATAGTGCAGCCTCTTTTGTATGGTTGAAGGAATGGGTGAATTTAACCAATAAGAGAATATTATTCTTAGAAGGCCATGACTTGCAGAGGGAGTGGCATGCTTTTTTATGGAATGTTGGGAAAACTAGCCAGAAATATTTTCACAGACAGGTGAATCAGAGATTCATTATTGACTAATTGGAAGAAAATACGGAAAAAACACTATTTAACAATACCAATTTGGATCTCAACAATGGAGGCAACGATTCACCCAAATAATCTGGATATTACTAAAATGATTAAATATAAGGACCTATTGGATATGCAAGGAAATCTGAAATCGTGGCAAGAACTTCAAGATCGGGGATTAAAAATTGATCAGTGGGCATATCTTCAAATTCAAAGTAGATATAAACAGGACAAGAAAGAATTTGGAATTAACAATAAACTCCAGCAATTAGATAAAATTTTATTAGGATCAGGCAAAAAAAATATAACAAAATTTTATAATTATTTATTAGAAGTAGAATTATTTATTAGAAGTAGAAGGTGAATCATCACCTCCATTGTTGAGATCCAAATTGGTATTTTTAAATAGTGTTTTTTCCATATTTTCTTCCAATTAGTCAATAATGAAGAAGACGAAATTGTAAAAGGGAACATGGTAGCCTGGAGTAGGAATATAGGATGTAGTATCACCATAACAGAATGGGAAAAGGTCTGGGGTAGAAATAATAAAATTACAAAATCAGTAACATACAAAGAAAATGCCTATAAAACGTTTTATAGATGGTACCTTCCTCCTTCGAGATTAGTGAAGCTGCACCCCAATATGAGTCCGAATTGCTGGAAATGCAAAAAAAAGAGGGAACTTTCTTCCATATGTGGTGGTCCTGTACAGAAGCTCAAAAATATTGGCAGAAAATTAGAAATTGGCTGGAGGAAATGACAAGAGAACAGATCGAATTCAAACCAGAGTCCTTTCTATTAGGGATCTTTGATAAACAAATACCCAAAAAAGTGAAATATATAATAATACATATTTTGACAGCGGCCAGATTGGCTTTTGCACAATGTTGGAAACAGCCTCATGTTCCATCAGAGGAGATGATTATTCAAAAAATTTCAAGTTGTGCAGAAAAGGACAAATTAACCTTGGCATTAAAAAATAAAGACACTTCAATATACTAAAACAGCTGGAACTGCTGGTACAAATGGATAGACCAAAGATAGATTTCACACTAAAAGGCAAAAGAGGATAGGATAGAACCGTAGTAGTGATATACAGATATATGTAAGGATTAACTGTTATCCTGTTCAGGAGGTGGCTCAGGACCAAGTGCTAGTTTGATTCTCTTATAGCCACCCTCCCAGCTTATGTTTCGCTGCCATTTGTCTAGCCAGGTGAGACCCAGGATTACTGATTGGGTCATCTTTGGGACTACTAAGAATTGGATTATTTCCCAGTGTTCCCCTATGGTTAGCTTTACTTTTTCAGTGACTTGCGTAGCTTGACTTCCCCCTATCATGGATCCATCTACTTGTTGGAATCGAGTGGGGTTAGTTAACATTTTTGTTTCTATTCCTAGCCTATGCACAGTCTCAGGACTGATAAGGCACCGTGAACTACCAGTGTCAATGATAATGTCTATGGGCCCTTCTAAGCCCATGCGTGTGACAGTTAATGTCCCTTCAATTTTAAAAGGTAGAATGGTTCCACTTACCATTGGGTCATCTCCTTCACTGTCTGCATCTTGCATGATGGGTACTTCCCTCCCCTGTTTGTTGGGGGTTGGGGACCTCGATAGCTTGGCACACAACTTTGCTTTTTTCAGGAGGTTTTCTAGGTGCCTTTTTCCATTTAGGAGGAACGGATGCTCTCCCTTGAGGTACTGGGCTGGTGCTAAGCATTCTGTCTTCAGGCAAACCACGGCACAGGCAGATTTTTAACAACTCCTCATCTAGGCTTTCTTGGAAATAGTGCATGTAATCTTTGAGATCAGTGTCTGAGATTAGTGGTCAGGCATCTGAACTCAAGCACTAAATCCTTGGCGGGTCTACCCTTCTGCCTGATGTTTTTTATACTTGGAAGGCAGCATGTTTCCTGTCTAGTTTCCATTCTCAGAACTTTTGTAATATGTTTTATTTTACATATGCTTTCATATCTATGTTGCCAAGAACATTTTGGAGTCTCCCAATATCTGTTGATGTCTGTTCTGGATGTCTTGATTGATGTCTTCTCAACTCAACTAATTTTCAGAAATGATTATGCTTGTGGCTTCTAATTTTTTAAATATTTATTCTGGGTAGGCTGGAAATATAATTATAATTTGCAGATCAATAATAATTAGCTTTGATGACTAGGTGTGGTTAGTTGTTGGTTTTTTTCCAGCCAAAATAAGATTTGACATTTAGTACTGGTAAAATCAAACTATTTGATATAAATTTAAGCATGTTTTCATTTTAAACAAATGTTTCATGTTTATTGCTAAGAGGATAGAAAAGTTTAAAAAAATAGCAATTATTTCAAATTTTAGTTTTACTACATTATTTATCCTAAAAATAAAGCAGAAAGATTTGTGACCATTAAGAGTGAATACATGGTTTAATTAATGTAATTTAATATTTGTAGTTTTTCACTGAAATACTTCAGGTGAATACAGCACTAGATTTCAGGCTGTCTCTGATTTTCATAATAAACTTCTCTACATGAGCCTTATCCCAAGTTTTTTATATATATCATTGACATTTGAGTTCACAAAAATAAATTTATGTGGGAGAACATTGCAAGCATGTACATTCATAAAATGTATTACTTTCTATTTTTTGTGAAGATAATAATCGAACAAAGCATTGCTTAGTTGGGTTATACTAAATTACAAATGCACTTTTAAAAAAATATAACACATTTGTGTCTTCCTTTTTTGCCATCCTCTTAGATGTGTGCAATAGTACTGATCTTCCCGAAGTTGAAATCATCAGTCTACTGGAAGAGCAGCTCCCTCATTACAAGCTAAGAGCAGATACAATCTATGGTTATGACCACGACGATTGGCTTCATACTCCTCTTATTTCTCCTGATGCGAACATTGACTTAACAACTGAGCAGATAGAAGAGACATTGAAATACTTCCGTAAGTCCAGATATGTTCATTAGTATTCAAATAATGAAATTATTTTAGAATGATCTTTTTTCTAGATTTTGTGCAAGGATTACATTATAAATAGAACCATTTAAAATGTGCCATTTTAACATTTTGTTGTAAGAGGCATAATTTCCATCTAATTAGAATAATTTGAATGTAGCTTGTGTATTTCAATTTTTAATCAAGTTTTCAGATTTTTTAAAATCAAGTTTTAATTATAAGTACTATCACTGCCCTATATGGCAAGGTTTGAAATCAATAATTTCTTCTGGTATTCTTATCTTCCTTGTTTTTATACTTAAAATGTATGATAAGGCTGTGTAAAATGTTTGAAAGAAATACTTTCTAGAGTACATTAGGATGAACAAAACCCAGTTCTTTGACATAGTCAGACATACTCTTTGGAAGTTTGCATAGCTATCTCAGTGGGTATCCTTGCCTATCTGCGTAAGTATACTCAAACACTAATGTTAAGATGCAAGTAAACAAGGTATGCATGGCACATTTGAAGGCACTTGGTTACAGTTTCTGAAAAATCTGGGCAAACTTTCCAAAGGTTGTAGTTATGTTAAAATTAAAATAAGTTTTTTACTTGAGCTAACATACCTTACATCTATTCAGAATACTAATGAAAGATATTTTGTTTTCTATTAGCACAATTGACTATTGTTTGGGCATTTTTGCTGATCTGTGACAGTAATAAAAAAAAAATTAAATATATTTTTATTGTTTACAACTATAAGTGTCAAGCATAGTGCAACCGTTTTGGCATTACCTTGCCTTACATACAAAAATATAACGAAACCATTAACATTCCTATTATTGGTACAATATTTACATTTTGATTCTAATCATCCTAGCTATTTTTGTTCCAACATTCCCTCTTTTTTGCAACCACAGGTAAAACTTATTCCATGTATCATAATATTCTGATTCCCCCTTATTTTTCAGTATTAAAGTTAATCTATCAGATTCTGCACAAGCCATTATTTTCCTTATTATCTCTCTTTTTGGTGGTATACTTTCATTTTTCCAATATTGTACATAAATCATTCTCGCTGCTGTCAATACATGTATTATTAAATATGTTATACCTTTCCTGTGACCTTCTGTCATTATTTCTAAGATAAATATTTCTGGCTTAAATTGAATGTGTTCCCCCACTATTTGCTCCACCCATGTGTGTAAAAATCTCCAATATTGTCTTGTGTGGTTACATGTCCACCATATGTGATAGAGTGTGCCTGGTAAGTCCTTGAACATTTTGGTGATACATTTTTGTACATTTTGGCAAGCTTTGCTGGGGGAAGATGCCACCTGTAGAACATCTTGTATAGATTTACCTTATTCATATTATTTTTCCAAAGATTTTGCCATTTTGCCAATTTGATGTTATATCCGAAATTTTTAGCCCACGCCACCATTGTCTCTTTGACATGCTCTTCCTCTAGTTTATATTCTAACAGATATCTATATAGCATCTTAATCAGTTTGTCATCAGTCCCTGTCAATAGTTTGTCTAGTGTTGTTGGTTCTGTATTAATGCCCCATGTTTTCCTATCCTGAATATATGTCCACTGTATTTGTAAATAGGACTGCCACTTCAGATTTACCCCTTGCGCTATCATTTCTCATCTTGTTTTCAGTTCTCCTTTTTCATTCAATATGTCTATATATATAACAATTTTCTCCATGTTTCTCAAATTAGGATGTATTAGTGCTTCTAATGTGGAGAGCCAGATAGGGGTTTCCCTATAATTTTAGTATTTAATTTTATTCCATACTGTTAATAGTGCCTGTCTTAGATGGTGTCTCTGGAAATATTTATGTACTGTGCCTTTTCCATACCACAGAAAAGCCTGCCAACTCACTTGGATATCATGATCTTCCAATGTTAGCAGTCTTTTATCCCTTAATGTCACCCAATCTTTTAGCCAAGTGAATGTTGCAGCTTGGTAGTATAACTCCCATTCAGGCAGGCCAAATCTGCCTTTCTCTTTGGTATCCTGCATTAATTTCAGCTTAATTCTCAGCCTCTTTCCCTGCCATATAAATTTTGACATTAATTTGTTCAAGTTCTTAAAGAAGCTGTTCTCTAATTTTATCGGAATATTTTGAAATAAAAAGAGTATTTTTGGTAAGACATTCATTTTTAGAACAGCTATCCTACCCATTAGAGAAATTTGCAGGTTCTTCCATCTTTCTAAATCCATCTTAATTTGATTTGTTAATTTAGTGTAGTTATCTTCTCTGAGAGTTATACACCTTGCTGTTAGGTATATACCTAAATATTTCACCTTTTTCACTATTTGGATATTCATTTCCTTTGTAAATTCTTCCTTTTATTTATTTGCCATGTTCTTGACTAACATTTTAGTTTTCCCCTTGTTTATTTTTAGTCCCGCTACTTCTCAATACTCTGCCACTTCCTCCATAAGCTTCACACCAGACTTTAGAAGCTCCTCTAAAATAAAGACTAAATTGTCCACAAAAGCTTGTAATTTATACTTTTCTTGTCTGATTTCCAATCCTTTAATTCGTTCCTCTTTTCAGATATTTCTCATCAGCGCTTCTAATTTTAAGGTAACAGTGGGGATAGTGGACAACCTTGTCTTGTACCTTTTTGTATTGTAAATTTTCACATTGCCTCCCCATTAATTATTACTTTGGCCTCTTGTTTTGTATATATTGCTCTAACCATGTTTATGAATCCATTGCCGAAGTCCATATGGCTCAATTGCTGTAACATGAATTCCCAATTTACATTGTCGATTGCCTTTTGGGCATCTAAGAAAAGCAGTGCCACTTGTTTTTCATTATGTTTAATAATACTCTTAATATACCTAATATCGTTCTCATATTGTTCTTTATCTGCCTTTTGGGTATGAAGCCATTTTGGTCAGTATATATAAACGTGTTAAGGAATCTTTTCAGATGTTTGGCTATTATATAAGCAAATATTTTATAATCTGTGTTCAGTAATGAAATTGGTCTATAATTTTGAATTAACGATTGATCTATGTCCTCCTTTGGGATCAGCACTATGTTAGCCTCTATTCATGATAAAGGTATCTTTGCTTCTCTGAGAACAGCATTATATACTTCTAGTAGTATTGAACCAAGACTGTCCTGAAGGTCTTTGTACAGTTCTGATGGTAGTCTGTCAGACCCTGGTGCTTTGTTGTTCTTTTGCTTTTTGATAGCTTCAATTAGTTCTGGCACTCTTATTTCTTCATTGAGCATATATTTTATTTCATCTGGTACTTTTGGTAGTTCAGCCTTTTCCAGATAATGTCAAATTTTTTCCTCTAAATAACCTCTACTTTCTTTATATAGTTTCTCATAAAAGGCCTGGATTATATTTTTTTAATCTTCATTTTGGTAAAAACGTTTCCCTCTTCATTTTGTAATTTATTAATCCATTTTTTTCTTTCTGTTTTTTCAATTTATATGCTAGCCACCTTCCTGGTTTGTTCACATTCTCAGAAAAGTTTTGATCTGCTTTCTTTATTTGTTGTGCCAATTTTTCTTTTTCTAGGATGGCCAACTTGTGCTTATAGTTCCATTTTTCTTTTAGATTTCTGTTTTGTTGCTTTTTTTGTAGCTCTACCTCTATGTTCTTATAGTTCTCTTCCAAGTCCTTTATTTTTTGTTTCTTAATTTTACTTTTCCTAGCCATGAATGATATGGCGGCCCCTCTTATAAATGCCTTCATCATATCCCATAAATTTTGTATGGATGTATCCCCTGCCTTGTTTTCTTTAAAGAGAAATCCCTATTCCTTATTAATCCTCTGGATAAAATCTTCATCTTTCAAGTTAAATGTCCATCTTTGGCATTTCCTTTGCCCTCTCAAAGTAATTCTCATAGGATTATGTTCTGCCCAAAGGTTAGTATCTATTTCTACTTCCTTTATTCCTGAAATTAGCTCCATCAAGGTCCAGACCATATCGATTCTTGACCAGGACTCATGTCTTTTCGAGTAGTAAGTGTACTGTTTGCTCTTCTGATTTCTCTCTCGCCAGGAGTCTTGAATATTTAGCTCTTCTGCCATTTGAAAAAACATTCTGGGTAGTACTATCCTTTTAATTCCTTTTGTTTTTGTTTTTGTTGCTCTTATAGTTTCTTGTCTATTATGGCATTGAAGTCTCCCAGTATGCTATGTTGTCACTCTCTGTTTCTTGGATAATGCTATGCAGTTTCTTATAGAAATTTTGCTGTCCCCCATTAGGCGCGTATATTTTGACTAGTAACATCTTTTTTAATGTTATTTCTATGACCAGTATCCTTCCCTCTTCATCCTGATAAATTTGCTTAGCCTGTATTGTTTTGTTTTTTAATATACAGTGCTACCCCCTCTTCTGTTATGCTAAAGCTACAAAGAGATTCCCCAATCTGGGGTATTCCAGTACCTGTTTCTGTTGCTTTTTAATATGGACCTCTTGTATGCCAGTTATGTCTAAGTTCAGTTGCTTTAGTTTAGTAAAGGGTTTCTTCCTTTTCTGAGGAGAGTTTAAACCATTGATGTTCAATGATAAAATCTTTACTTCCTCGTTCATATTTCTACTTATTTCTGGGTCTTGTACTTCTTGTTACTCTTGTCTCTCTCAGTTCTTTAGGCCCTTCTTCTTTACTCTCTTGTTCGGCTTCTTTCTCTTTTTCCTCTCTCCTTTAGTTATAGTTCCTTCTCTGTTCTTAACTTTGTTTCTTGGTCCCTTACCCCTTGGTCCCTTCTTCTTCTTTCTTGTTGCCAAAAAACTGGTTACAGAATTCTTCTGCTTGTTCAACCATGTCTATTCTGAATCTCTTTTCTCTCCGTGTCACCAATATGCCCTCCAGCATCAGTCACCTGAAGTTGATGTTATGTTTATTCAACAATTATATCAGGAAGTGGTCTTCTTAACTCTCTGATTCTTCTGAGTACCTGCTTTAGAACTATCAATTGCCTTTCTTTGTGGACTATCAGCTCTTCTCCAGCACGACAATTG